TAAGCGACGGCGCTTATATAACGACAAATACAATTTTTATCTTTAAAGGTACCAAACTGTACCTTTCGTTGTAGCCATTTCAAACGAGTCGAACTATTATAGCGTCACAAAGCAGAATCGCGCGCAAGCGATTCTGCTTCCTGTACACGGGCAAATTCGTGTCACTTTGCAGGCAAGCCAGCACAAACAAAGCGAAAATGAAATTTGACTCGCTGCAAAACTGAAATTCGTTACCGATTTAAACTGATATTTAAATGAAAATTGCACACGGCGCTTATAATAAGTAATGGTTTTCTAGGGGGGGCGCTTATAATCGAGGATCGGCCATAAGCGCCATGCTCCAGATAGAAGCGCCGGCGCCTGTAATAGGCCGGCAGCTATATCCGGGGCCATACGGTAAAGCTACGGTATCACCAAGAATGATGATTTTGTGCATTCTTGATCGGTAGAAGCTTCAACATGTTTGACAGGCGAAGGTACTGGCATACGCTTGTGTGCCAGCTTTATATTGAGATGCCTAACAGGCTTTATATTGAGATGCAGTCTACCAAACATCCAAACAGATGAGCTAAACCTCATTACAAATGGCGACCGTGGTGGAACACAACTACAGTATGCCACTCTTACTGTATTCTCCTGGACAAAACACCCCCCCGTAATTGTACACCCCCGGGTAGCTTGTGCGGGGTGGGTGTTATGATTGACCTCATTTCTACTATACCCCCCTTTTTGGCTGATTTTCTATAACACCCCCCTTTTTTTTTACGAATTCGTTATTATAGTCGTTAACGAGTAGCTGCAATACGGAAGAATATCGCGAAAATTTCTCCCTAGATGAAATTTCGCGGTACATTCACTTACTACTGAGATTTCCCCCCTCCCACTACTTCGCAGTCGCCACGTGCAGGCGAATCTTCCGCTGCAAGCGGCAAGAGAGGTGCCACATGGCATTTTCGTAGGGGTGATGAAGTTCGTGGCCGAAACTCACGTTCGCGCCTCAGACAGTGATGTTAAAATTATAATTTTTAAACTCACATAGTGTTTTTTAAAATTGTGTATTGTGAAAGCGAAGCTGCTTGTACTGCACAATTGGCATCGTCGAAGCGCGCTAAACGCCCTTCTCCAACTACAAAAACCGTGGGTTGGAGTTCATTTCCCTCCACCCACGTTTCTCGATTTTCAAACGGCTCACTCAACACTCCCACCACCCACCCCAGAGTAAACCGCCTTGCTAATGCCACTTGGATAGGGTACATCTTAGCCAGTGTTATTTGATTGCACCAGCTTGTGCTCAACGTTGATGCAAATGTTGTAATAAGCCATTTGTAATGAGAACGATGCCAATTGATAGCAAGCTTTCTCAATATGAAAATCAAAACACCCACATTGTCTAATCAAATAAACACTAACACTAAAATATACCATATGTAAAGACCCGGGTATTATGTAATTTTTTCCTATGAGACCCCCCCCCATTTTTTCCCTGTATTTTTAGCTACCGTATGGCCCCGGATAGAAGCGCAGGCCTATGTTAAGCGCATGCGCTTGTATCTGGAGCAATGCGCTTATGGCCGATCCTCAATTATAAGCGCACCCCTTTGGAATTCTTGACTTATTATAAGCGCACTCGTTTAGTTAAAAAAAAAAAAAGAATTTCATTTTTTTTAACCTACCTAGCCTACATGTTCTAAACTTTCCATTAAGAATGACTATCACATACAAGGGTGGTCTCTGCTGTCCTGCACTACACCTTTCAACCTGCCTAGTCTACCCTACTGCCTTTTCTTCCTCCTCGTCCGACTCAGGCTCCGTGGAGTTGTTGCCCCAGAACCCATCTGCCTGGATGTCGTCGTCCACCTCCACCTCATGGGACAACTGGCACCTTCGGTGCGCTCCCATCAAGGGCGTTGCTGATGCCGCAAGTGAGGAAGGCTTTCTTGATGAGGTCGGCGGGCACCGCCTTCCAGGCCCGTGAAATCCACTTGAGCACCACCTCCGGAGGTGGTTTCTTGATGTTCCCTGCATCACACGGAGTGGGGCGGGGAAAACATGAGACAAGTAAACATGCATTCAAGCTCAAGATTTGCAGACGGGAGCACATGCCGTCACTCACCTGCCGGGGTCAGGATGTTCATGCCGTCCTCCTCAAACCAATTTTGGTACTGCTGACGAATGCTTGCTTTGAAGCTTTTGTTGATCGACACATCGAGGGGCTGCAGGTCTGCCGTGCAACCCGCCGGAATGATAGCAGGCACGATGTTGAGCGCCGCGAATCTCGCCTTGACTTCTGGTGTCAGGTGACCGCGATACGAGTCGAGCACCAGCATGGCGCTACGACTCTGCAGGCCGAATTTCGGCTTCAGGAACGGCACCACGCCCGTGTTGAGCCACTCGATGACGCCTGCGGCCTCCATCCACCCGTTGGCTTGGCAGCCGACCACAACATCTGCACGCAACGAAAAAGAACAGTTAACGACTCAGGTAGTAACGGGAATAAACACGGTGGACGATCACTTACCGTTCGGGAAGTCACCCTTGGGGAGTGTCTTGCGCTTGAAAAACACCCACGGCTTCAGCTTCTCGCCCGTCGCCGTGCACGCAAGCATGACGGTCACTCTCTCCTTCTGGTACCCACCGCTGCGAATGGGCACCGACCTCACGCCCGTCTGCTCCACGGTGGTCGTCGCCGGCATCTCTAACCACAGCGGTGTCTGGTCGGCGTTGATGATGTAGCGGTTGTCAATGTCGTATTCGTGACGGGCGTCACGTACGTACTGCCAAAAATCATTGCACTGCTCAGCCACGTCTGCAGAACAGGGAGAAAGGTACATACAGTAAACCAAATTAGTATGACGCATAGGAGACATGCGAAAAAAACTAAGCGCAATCGGGTACCCACCAAAATCAGCAGTAAACGACCCACTTACGCTCCTGTGTTTTCTGTGCCACCTTTGTTTTCATGCGCACGCTGAGGTTCCACCGCCTGCGGAACCGCTCCGTCCACCGCTGACTGGCTTTCCACTTGACGTCCGGGTATAGAACCTTCATCACTTCTTTGGACCACTCTTGCAGCCGGCCGACCGAAACCGCAACTCCGCGGCGTCGCCAGTCGAGGAGTTGCGCGTACACCTTTAACTCCATGGGGCGGTACCAAGACGACCTCCCGCGCCCGTGAAGTCGCATCCGTGCTCCGTGTGCAGCCTTGAGCGCATCCGCTTGGGCTTTCCATTCTGTCAGACATTTTCGGTGAATGCCTGACTCCCGCGCCACTTCGCTCACCGAAGCCGCAAGCTCGAGCCGCACGAGCCACCTCAACTTCTCCTGGGCGGTGTAGGACTGCCGCTTATGTTGATTCAGCTTGTGCCTGGGGGAGGGGGGGCGGGCATCTCGATTCTCGGTAGACGGGTGGGGGCGTTTTTTATTAAGGGGCGGATATGTCGGTACCGGCATCTTCGCGCGTGGTGCGTCGCGCCACCAGGACTCCACACCGTCCTCGTCCTCGTCACGGTCGGGGAACACGTCTTCCTCGTCGCCCGCTGCACCGTCGCCACCAGCTTCACCGTCGCCTCCAGCTTCGCCGGCGCCGCTGTCATGTTTATCGGTAGCCACATCATCGTCGGCGCCCACAGCCGACTCATCCCACGCGCAGGATTCTGGTTGTCCCCACCGTGGTGCAGTCGCTGGAGCTTGGATGCGTGCATCGCGGGCCTTCGGTGTGTCCGCTTCAGCCAACCATTCGTCGAACGTGGCTGGTAAATACAGTTGGAGCACGGGCCGTTGGTGAGCACCTGCCGTGGCAAAAGCAGGCGGATTCGGAGGAGCGGGAGGTGCGGGAGGAGCGGGTGGAGCAGGGGGTGCAGGGGGAGCAGGAGGAGCAGGGGGTGCAGGGGGATCCGGTGGCACTGGAGGCGCTGGTGGCTCACGGGTATACCACCCGTCTTCGGTAAGTCGCCATGTGCGGCGTGGCTTTTTCTTGAAGAGGATGCTCGTCCCACTAAATTCCGCCATGGCTTCGCCTGCCAGGCGGGGTTGACAAGGAACTGAATGAAAAAATCAGAGAAGAGGGTGAAGAAATGGGCAACGACGGTGACCCCTGCTGTGTGACGGCTCGGGTTCCTCGTCGATGACAGGCAGGAAACCCCCGCCCACTCCCGTAGAGGCGCCTGCGTGGCAGCATCTACGCTGCGCTGGCAGAGAATCTTGCCGAACCTTCGAGATGGTTCTGCCCGAATGCACATGCCTCGCAGCGCATGCGGCTCTGATTGGGCCGCACGACAACATCATCGTCACGGCTGTCACATTCTATGTTTCCAGACAACATTGTGCGGTGGTAAACCGAACCGCTGCGGTTTCTGCCTGAAAACCATGCACGATCCCACTTGGTGCATGGTCGGTTGAATTCGCCTTATTGAGAGCTTCACAATGGTGTGTTCAAAATTGATTTTCATTTTTCCCTTTATACAAGCGCATGCGCTTATAAATCTGACTCAATTATAAGCGCACCCCCCCAAAAAACAATGTTTTATTATAAGCGCAGGTGCGCTTCTATCCGGGGTATTACGGTATGCCCTAGGGTGTTATGTCCTGGAGAATACGGTAAAAATGCAGGCCAGACACTGGCTGCAGGCTTCAATCGTGGGGGCACGCAGATCTCAATGGGACCACCATTGCTGCCACCGACAGTCCCTGCACACGGGCGGTTGTACTTCTCATACAGCTCCGTGCTTCCCCCAAATGCCCTGCCGATCACACTGCTGCATGACGCCGATGCCTTGAACAGCCGTGGTCTTCCCTTGGTACAGCTTCCGTAATCATCATGTTGCGTCGCCTTTGTGCATATCTCGGGCCAACGAGCCTGCACATTGCGCATGGTCGCATGTGAATGAGAAGCACGATCTGACCAAAACACTTGAAAATGGGAAAAAAACATACCGTATTGTACAATGGATCAAACCATGCACCCTGATATAATGGAGTTGCGGAGGGACAGCATCGCATGCTCAATCACTCAAACCGGCAATGCTCCATGCAGCAAGCCTCCTGCGACTCACCTCCCGGCCAGCATTCACTGAGCTGTAGCACACGAGCCCTGGGTTCAGCCGGTAGAGCTCCAGCAAGGATACCAGCTGACGGTCCCCCACCACCGCAGTGCAGCTGCTCGTGCAGCTGACCGAGTAGAGTGAATTGCAACGCTGCTCCCCAGTCCCCACCTTCCCATCGTCCCGCTCAATGCAGAGGGAGCGGGAGGGATTGAGGGGCGAGGAGCAGACGGAGCCGGGGTTGAGTAGCGGCAGGGAGGAGGAAGAGAGGCCGAGAGAGGCTGCCACTGACTCGCATGTGTCGCCCTGCATTGAGAGAGTGGGGAATCGGGGGGAGGAGAGGGGGGAGGGGAGGGAGTGCGTGGTGGTGGGATGGGAGGGATTAAGAAAGTCAGCTGGAAGTTGACATGTGATACAGAAGAGCAGCAAGTTTGCGGAGTACCAAAAGCCAAGAAGAACAAGGAGTGGGTGCGTGAATCCAAGGAGTACCAGAAAAACCCAGAGAGCATCCATCAGAAAAAGCATCAATATAGGAAAGAACCACGAAGAACTGATGCGAGAGATGATGAGAAAGTCACAACCGAGATGCAGAAATATCAGCCAGACCTGCTAGCACAGAGCTGATGAGAGAATGCAAGGAAGGCGAGTTACCGGTTGAATGAAGTAGAAGACAGAGCATGAGGCCAGGTCGTCCCTTTCAGTCACGTTCAGTGTTTGACCCCGGGTGAGGGCAGCAGAGCAGTCCACGCCCTGCCAGCCAGCACACGCACACACAGCAAGGCGAGCGGCATTGACGGTATAAGAGAAACTCACACTGCAACGAACTATTTGTAAAACCCTCACATTGTTCTGTGCAGTAAAATCGTCCTGAGTGAGTCCAAAAGAGGATACTCGTCCTCACACCTCCAGTTGTCCCCTTGCACCTTCAGCGTTGATGAAGGCTCCAAATATCCTTCGCAAAAACAAAGCCAACAAGAAAGACCAAAAACACCCTTGCATTTAGAACAGTTTTGAAAACCCCCACTTGCCCTTAATGCACCATTGTGGTCAAAAGGAAAAAAAAAGGAAAGTGGAGGTGCTGGGTTCCGTCCTTTGATAGATCCAATGTCCCTCACACACGGTGACGAGAATGTGCCAGAACAGAAGGGCAGTCTGTGTGGCAAGCGCTTGAAATGAGAGGGGCAGCGAGCTTACGGTATTTACAGGTGGGGTATCCGTTGGTTCTGATGTCCGGGACGTGCAAGGGCGGGCAGACACAGGAGTAGGAGCCGGGGCCACCACTGATGCAGGAGCCATACTTGCAGGGGTTGCGAGTGCTGTTGGCACACACATCCGCTGGTAAGGGTGGTGGGGGGAGGACACGATTCTATCATTGCATTGAGGTGTTTCAGAAGTGGCGCCCGTAATGCAGGGGCCTCCGACTGCTGTTGCCACACACACACTCCCGCTAGGGGGGGAAGCGGGGAGGGAAAGACAACAGGCACGTCGAAGTGGGGGTGGCAAGCATATGGTTGTGTGAGAGGGGATGGCCTAGTGTGGAGGGGAATGTGGCAAGGTGCAGGCAATCAGGCGCAGTGGATGCAGCTTAGCTTGGAATACCCAGGCTTGCACAACACAAAGAACAACACTTACGCAGTCCAATTTGAGCATGCTTACGGTCGGTTGGCGAGGGTGTGGGTTCAGGAGGAGGATAATACTCTTGGAAGAGTATGCATGAGCCGTCCGTGCTTCGAATGTCGCCCTCACAGACACACGCCACTCCCCTGCAGTCCGACGTTGCGGCTTGCTAACACAAGTGGCATCTAGATGCTAAAAAGAAGGCTCTGTATGCTTACTGTCTGTTGGTGAGGGTGCGGGCTCAGGAGCAGTATAATACTCCTCATCGACCGTGCATGAGCCGTCCGTGCTTTGGGTGTTGCCCTCGCAGACACACGCCACTCCCCTGCGGTCCGTGGTTGCAGCACATGAGAAGTTGGTGGGGCACACTGCGTGCCTGCAGATGTCCTCTGGAGCACCGGGAGGAGGGAAGGGGGGTGGGGGGAGTTTTGAGTTGGAACAAGAGGCCCACTACCCTGCGGTGCATGGTCGCAGCGGCGCATGAGAAGTTGGTGGGGCACACTGCGTGCCTGCAGATGTCCTCTGGAGCACCAGCAGTGAGCGGTGGGTACAGGGGAGAGGGAGATGGGCGGGGAGAAGATTGGGGTGGGGGAGGGGGGATAAGGAATGTTGAGTTGGAAAGGACAAAAGGGGTGCATTGCACTCCACTCCCTGTGGCCCGAGGTTGCGGCGCACACCATGTGTCCGCACATGTGCTCTGGAGACCCGGCAGTGAGGGGGTGGAGAAGAAACGGAATGGAGGAATGGCTGGAGGGAGCAGTGGAACAAAAACAAGGAGAGAGAGCAGCAGGAGCGAGTACAGAAGGAGTGAGAGCAGCAGGAGCGCAGCACACCTATGATGCAGCGGACGGACTTGGCTGCCTTGGCAATCGTCTTCGCCCTGCTCACAGGCACAGACGGGACACGCCCCAAGGCATCAGTCAGGTGGCAGTGGAAGATCAACCCGCGGGCGATGCAGGGAAGCAGGGAAGCAGGCAAGCAGGGAAGCAGGCGCGAAAGGCTCACCCGTGACTGCCGCGCACCAGAGTGTCCAGTGCCCTTTGTTTGCACCCGGGCTTGGAGAAGAACTGGATCTTGGAGCAATCAGCATCGGCATGTGGGCGCGTCCACGCCACCTGCACCTTCTGCCTCCCGCAGGCGCTCTTGGCCGGAATGTCGACGCAGCGCAGCGAGCTGAAGGTGATCGCATGGCCGTTGATGCTCACCCGCGTGCCCACCTGCAGCTGCGCGTCCGGGTTCGGGTCTCTGGCTGCTCCTGTCGTAGTAGGGTTGGAGAACATGGAGCATTGGGAAGTACTCACTTGGGAGCCCACCTTCAGTCGCGCATTCATTGATGCGTCCCTGGCTGCTCCTGTAATGCGGATGGGAGCATGTGAGCATGGGATGGGAGCATGGGAGAACGTTAGAGCACTGAATCCTGTGAGCATGGAGCAGGAGAGGATGTGAGAGCATGGCGTGTAGGAGCAAGGAGCATGGGAGCAAGGAGCATGGGAGCAAGGAGTATGGGAGCAAGGAGTATGGGAGCAAGGAGTATGGGAGCAAGGAGTATGGGAGCAAGGAGCATGGGAGCATCTGAGAATCGGAGAGATGCGTTTAAGCGGCTAGGCAGCATTGAATCGAGAAGTATGTGATCATGACAGCACGGGAGCATGTAAGAGCACCAGCTTATGTGATGCATGAGCACGAGAGCAAGGGAGAATGGGAGTATGGCGCATGTGAGCATGGAGGAGCATATCAGAGCATGTAATAGCATGATGGAATCGTGTGAGATGAGCACGAGAGAAAGAAAGCGTGGGAAGAAGGAGCATTGGAACATGTGAGAATGGGAGAGCATGTGAGCGGCAGAAGGGAAGAATGGGATCATGATGGGAGCACGGAGCATGGGGCAAAAAGCGTGTGGGAGCGGGAGCGTGGGAGCAAGGCACAGGCGCAAGGAGCAAAGGGCGCAAGGAGCAGAGGCGCACTGGCGACGACCTCGACGGTGAGGAGCAGCGCAATCAGCGCAATCACGGCATGAGCACTCCCGCCGCCCGCCATTGCGCCGTGAAGCCGGCGGCCACGTGCATCAGGGGAAGAAGATCGACGGGGCGCTGTTATGGTCGGGACTCGCCGGGCAGGTGATGCGAGCAGAGGGGTTTGCGGGGCCGATTACGATGGACTGTTAAAGATTTTGGAGTCGCGGACGGTTTCAAAAAGCTGGAAAGAGCACGGAGGCTACTATGATCAAGCGACGGAGAAGGACGAAATTATAACGCCTCGCTACCACTGGGTCAAAACGAGGGTGTTGAGGCGCAGCGGATGCACTCGACCCTACCAAGCGTTACCATTGCGTCGTCGTCTATGAAGGTCGTGGCAGGTTTCGACATGGTGGAATAAGAGCGGCTTCAACGAACGAGAACGAGACGTGAATGGATCAATTGAGATAACCATGGCTGACGGGAGTTGTGAATGGTCTCGGGCGTTTTCAATGTTCCAATAACACTGCTGGTTTACTTCTGGTACGTCGCAGCGAAACCGAGAAGTTCTCCCAAGGAAACTTGTCGCAAATCTTGTTCCACTTTTGTTATTGATTCGCTCGAGGCTTTATGGTAACGGCTGCGAAGTAGTTCACTTTTCCAGCGATCCTGGGACTGACCTAAAAAGCGACCCGCGCAGAGAATTTGAGGTGGCTACACCGTGGATCACATGCGAGCTGACGAAACGAGGACCGCCGAATGAGCCTTGGATTTGGATATCTCACCACCAGAAACTAATCTTGGTGCAGCCAGCTGTCGTTGTGACAAAGCATTATCCAATCAAGCTTCCCTCATAGGCCACGAGAGCTCACCGCACCAATCGGCGAAGTGGTTCACTTGTGTAGCGACTCTAGGACTGAAGTCAAAAGCGACGCGCGCGCTGACTTCGAGGTGGCTTACAATGGAATGGAAGACACCGCGAGGATCTGACGAAACGAGGACCACCTTACCATAGATTTCACTACCCTGAACTAATATCGATGTCGACAGGTGTAGAACCATCATGCAAACGGGCCCCTCCCATAGGTTAGACAGCCACGGGAGCTCATCGCATCAATAGTAGCGTCCGCAATCTCGAAACTCGAGTCCGCGGAGTAGCGCACGGCAGGCAGCGGGCGCAGTGATGGGTGCGCGGAGGGCTGGCGCAAGGCGAGAGAAGAAAGCCGATGGGATCCCTATGGGAGTCGCAAAGACCCGAAAGTGCATACGTGTTCCAAATGGCTGGAATCGGAGGTGATGAAAACGCAATGAACGGCGAGGATGATGGGTGCAGCTGAAGGGAGGCGAGGCAAAGAATGAGGCTGGTGATTTATTGGATAAGGTTTTGCGAGGAAGGCTCGAGTTCTGAAATTTCTCCGCCCACATCCTCCATCCAAAGTAAAGCTCAATCAACTTATTCACCCGACGTCCGGGCTGCTGTGTATTGCGTCCCGTGGTGAAGCGCCTTGGCCTCGACGGACAGTTTGCTGCTCCCATCTGGCACCTGGCACCTCCACACGCAGTGAGTTGCGACGTCCATCCGTGTCTACCTCTGACCATGAGCATTACTACTCTACTCTCCCATGCATCTCGCCTCACGTCCATCTTTTATGCTTCTCTTGCTGTCATACTGACTTTTGAGTTTCTCCTCCTTCTGCACCATGTCATATACATGCACCAGCGAAGTGCATACATTCATGCCATGCATCCTTTGTTATTTCGTACACCCTTCCCCATCATATGTATGCAGTGAAGTGAACGAACACACATCCCGTTCCTTCCCGCACCACCCCTGCATGCACGTTTCTTTCAAGCAACATGGATCGGATGGTGATGGGGGCGGCATGGCTGCTATCAATCATTCTGACTGCAGCTGTGACTTCGTTCATGATCAATCCCTTCAAAGACTGTCGTTCCTCCATAATCAACAGCAAGAACATGGTATGGCAATGAATATCGGTATCCTCTTACCTTTTTTAAGCATGCAATATGCTGCTCTCATCACATCGTGTATGCACTCAGTGTGCTCCATGCATGCTTCTTGAATTGCTTGCTCAATTGTCCATGCATGCCTATGCACCAATTGCTTGTACCCCTAAAGCCTTTTGTTCTGTTTGTTTTCAAATTTCTCAGATTCAGCATCCCCAGTCACTCATCACGCCCTTTCACGTGCTCTACGCTTGGGCATGTCAGTAAGAATAGGGAATTAGCCTAACCTTCTCAGCATGACTCGTCACACCACACGCCATGTCACCTGTCTGTTGCCACTGCTTGCCAGCTGCACCCGTCTTATATAAATTGTGCTCGTTTTTTCCACCGTGTTAATCCACTCACAGGCTCACATCCTGTATTCAGTTGTGGCCCCGCTGACACTACTCCTCTGGTGGATGGGCATTTCTCTCGCACAAGCCAGAGCGTGGCTGCATCAGCATTCCTTGGCACCAAAGGATGGGCTGAAGAAGCTTGTAGCTTCAACCACATCATTCATGGTACAGCACTCTCAACAACTCTTGCAATCCCATCCCTTGCTCAACAGTCCCTTCTCATAACCTCAATCTTGTGCTTCTGTCATTCCATCTTGCTCTTCACTCATCCTGTTCTTTCTTCCGCCTCCCACGTCTTTCCAGTCGATGGTGACAGGGGAAGCATTGAAAAGAGAATTGGCGGATGTCAAGAGTGAGCTAGCAGCAGCGAAGAAGGATTTTGCTGAACACAGAGAGCCTGGCTTGAAGCTGGAAGAGTCACTCACACACTGCAGCCAGGAAGCACTGAAATTGGAACTGGCAGCAGTCAAGACTGATTTAGCGACAACAAAGAGAGGTGGCTGAACACAGTGAGCGCATATTGGAGCTTGAGAGTTCCCTGGAGCGCTTTGGGGAAGAAAGCAAACACACATGGGAGGTGAGTTCAATTGCTTTTTCTGCCTCTACGTTTCCACAGCTGCAATCTGGTATGCAGGTATATGGTTATATGGCTACTCATTATGTCAAATCGCAAGCTCTGCATCAGGTTTCACTATTGTGTTTACCCTTTCCAGGCAATTTTGTCAGCATGGAGTGGAGAGACATCAACCAGGACCACACTGGAGATGAAGAACCTCACTTGCATCTCAGACACTGTCCTCCGCCACGTGTCTGCCATGACTCACCTGACCTCCATCCATCTGGACAAGTCCTCTGGCTTCAGTGCGGAGGGCGTGAAGCACCTCTACAAGCTGCCTCGGCTGGAGTGGCTCTCATTCAGACGGACGTCTTTGTCTGACAGTCATCTGGAGGGCATTGGGGCACTGAGCTGCCTTGGGTCTCTCATTCTCGGCGAAACGAAAGTGACGGACGCTGGTCTGCAGCTGTTGGCAGGGCTCTCACTCAAGACCCTGGAGCTTAATAACTGCCCGGGTGTGACATGTGCTGGCATGGTGCATGTGGGTAGGTTGATAGGCCTTGAGGGCCTATATTTGCAGACTCCAGGGGTGAAAGATGATGCCTTGCAGCACTTGTCATCCCTCACCAACCTGAAGCTGCTGCTACTGCCAAATGGGGCTACAGATGCCGGCGTGAAGCATGTGAGGCACTTGACTGCCCTGCAGAGATTGGATATGAATGAATCTGCGGTGACTGAATATGGGTTGAAGTGGCTGAAGAGCCTGCCTTCTCTGACGCACGTCAGAACAAAGCAGGAGAGGCTGCAGGGACGGTTGAAGGTCATTCTTCCTGAAGTGACAGTGAGCAGTGATTTCCTGCTCGGTACGGCACCACCATCCTGATCACATACACAGTGTGAGCTTTGGAACCCCAGGGTAGTACAGGGTATCACCAAAATTGGATGCTTTGATAAGAATAACAGATTGGATGTCTTGAAATGTGCGGTAGTAATTGATGTGTGAGTTGTCTGATCTACTACCATATCTGCTAAATTGAGCAAGTGGTATGTTAGCCACTGTGATAGCCATTAGCTTAGTACAACTCGTGAGTGCAGCAACAATTCCACAGCCATCCTCGGTGTGGTAAGGAGTCAAGCATGAAACAAAATGTGATTACCGTGTAAGGCGAGAGAAAGATGGGGGCAGCAAGGAGGTGAATGAATGGAGCACTTCAAGCAGTAAGGCCACATTATGAATAAGAATTGCAGCTCACTCAGAGAAACTCCTCTCTGCTGCAGCTGTTGGAAACAATAAGTCCTAAGTGCGCTTCTGTCGTATCAAAATCCAAGGTACCAAGCGAAGCAGTCCCAATCGAAGCATCGAGTCAACCTCGGAGGTTAGGGTAACCGCCTGGAGGTTACGAGAAAGTCAAAGGTCGCTGACCTTTGACTCGACAATTACAGCGCGACAGTTAAGGACACACAACTGACTCGTTACAGAGCAGTTGCCCGAGTCGCGCTATATCGAACCGCAACAGCAATACAGTTATCTATTCCCTGTACTCTTATATAAA